TTCCAAGTGTGAGAAAAGCTTTAGTCACAGCTCAGCTCTCATGAAACATCAGAGAATCCACATGGGTGAGAGACTCTTTAAATGCCCTGACTGCGGCAAGAGGTACAACGACAGCTCAACTCTTGTAAGACACAGGAGAATCCATTTGGAAGTCCGGCCTTATAAATGTCCCACCTGTGCGGAGGCTTCTGTGTGAACTCAGCCCTTATTAGACACCAAAGTACCCGCGCTGAGGACAGACCCTTTCCTCTGTCATGGTTTGGCCCCATTCAGATCTCTGGAACTGTGGGATCTATGGCTGGCAATGGAGGGGACATTGAGAAATTGAGGATCCATGAGGCATGATGGCAGGGGGATCAGGCTAGGCAGGAGCAGTGGGGGCCAACCTTTTTGGCAGGCATGCCACAAATTAGTCCTGCACTCTCCCCAAGAGTCATTCTGATTCCCTTCCCCTGCCCCATCTGCTGCTCTGCGTTTTGCCCCATCTTCCATCTGCTACTGCGCTGCATGTCCCTGTCCCAGATTTGCAATGTGCCACAGAGACTGCCTGTTCCACTTGTGGCACGTGTGCTGCCTGCTGGCACCCCTGAGCAGGAGAATGGAATAATTGGAAGATGGGGTTGCTGGATGGTCACAATCTACGGGAGAGGAAACTTTGAAAGGAACATGTGCTAAACTGGAAAAAGCAGCTGTTATTTCATAAGTGGGAGTTAGTCCAACTTCACCAAACCAATGCAATTAAACTAAAGTGTTGTTTTACCATTTATGTCCCCTACGTAGACAAGCCCTTACTCAGAAAACAAGTAAAATTCACTGCCAGAAGCTTAAGTAACTCAAGAGCTATAGTTGCCAACAAGTCATGCTTTTTCAAACTGTGATGAGTACAGTACTAGTTTAAATTACTGGAAATCAGGAAACACAGACATATGGTATTGTCCACTACTCCACATGGAGGTTTGGGGAGTGGGGGCAGGGTGTGTGTGTGGTTATAATAGAGCACCAGCAATTGTCAGTCAGTTAGCATTGATCTTTAGGAAGCCTGGACTGGTTTTCAGAATTAAAAATAGGATTTGCAATTGTTAGGATCACACTTCATATCCCATGAACCTTTAACTTAATATCTGTCAGTGGGCTCATAGATTGAAAGCGCTTTCTAACATCCAACTTAAATTTCTTTTGCTACAGCTTGAGACCATTGCTCCTAGTTCTATGGCCACAGAGAACAATCAGTCTTCATCTTTTCTATAAGTGCCCTTCAGGTATTTGAAGACTGTTATCAAATCCCCCTGTCCTCCTTATCTACCTCTTTACAATGCCACTGCTATGGCAAGAGAGAAAGAAAAAGTATAAGATATTCACTGAATTGTAAATCTCTATAACAGAGGTGATAAAATCAGTGTTTTTTTCTTTTTAGGAATCCCCTACATCTAGCCTCTTCCATGTCCATGGTAAACTTGGAAGTGTCCTAAGTAGCATCAGATGATTTAGCCAAAGGGTCAGCAGCCTTAAAGCAATGGTGAACTGAATTAATTCAGCTTGGTTAAAAGGTGGGCTACCACTGCTGGCTGCCACTAATTTCTTTTAACACTGACATCAGTTTTCTCTGTTGCTGCCACCCTGGCTTGGCAGACTGGATAAAATGTCTTCACAGATGCTAACCCCTGATTTAGACATTAATACTTCTCACACTTGCTCGTGGCTGATGGCATTATTGATACTGCAAGCCAGGAAATGATTCTAACTCTCTTTCTTGGCTGTGTCTGCTGTTACAGCAAAAGTGCCTTTCCTTCAAACAAACCTCTTGTTAAACCCCACAGTACCTACATCTTGAGAGGCTAAGGATGACAGAAATAGAGGAGCATGGGGCAAGATGCAGAAAGCTTAACTAGCAGTTCATTTGCATATTTAGAGAACAAGAAAGAACTACGTTTGCACAAAAGCATACAAATGGCCTGGCTACTGTTTGGAGCAGGGGATGGTGGGTCAGGATGACTTGGAGCTTGTCGGTGAAGAGACACATGATTGGAAGATGTTGAGGGTTAAGCTGACTTATTTTGCCATCTATTGGCAGTACTTTACTGCAAATCCTGTGGCATTTTAATAAGTGCTATTAAACCTATTCTGAAAGCTGGTTTATGGAGGTGTGAGATGAGTTTATCTGCAGCAAAAGAGGTATGCACACATTCCCTTGCTAATTTAGTGCTTTGTGTCTTTTATCCCATACTATTCTGCAGTCAAGCTTTATGTTTCAGAGCAGTCGAATACTGAGGGCCTGGATTTCACTGCACTCAGGGCCCTTCTAAAAGGCAGCCCCGCTTGTCATAGCCATACAAGAAGATTGCATACTGAATACACATTAGGAGCAAACTTAGTACCCCAGGCAAGGCCACAGAAGGTGCTTCTGCAGAGCTAACATCTTCTGTTTAAACAAGGCACTGGATGTTACTTTTGCTGAGGACTCCACTACTCAACTATACATTTTGAAGACTCTCCAACTTGTCCTAAACTGTTCCCTTCGCCCCAAGGCTTCGGTAAATCCCAGGGCAGGACACTCTCACAGAGACCCAGAACCCCAAATCACAACCAGAGGGTCATCTGGGATCTCAGCTATACAGAGTGCAGAGAGACCAAATCCACAAGTGTCTGACACAGGGGTGCACAGCATACAGGTTGCATGTGATCCTCCCAGAACAGTTTCAGTGATCCCCCACAAATATTTATTAAACCACCTTATTAGAGGAAAAAGGATTTGAAAACAAAGCAGTGGCCCTTGTGTTCTCACTATGTGGTGAGTTGTTATCTATTCCTGCACCTGTATGTATAGCCCAATTTTCTGCTTGCAAGTGTGCTGATGCCTCCTAGCCTCCGAGAGAGCACCCCATTAGTGGTGACCAGAAAGTGAAGTTTGAGTTGCACAACCCTTTTCTGATGTATTGCAATACAACCATCTAGGGGAGGGTTATATTCCCTGGTAAATAATAGAAAGACCCTTCCATCTTGGCCTGGCCCTGATACTCTGTATAGGAGATGTCTACCTTCTCTCTGCCTCCTGTAAATTTAATGTCTCTAGTTCAATTACACCACCATGGCATGAAACAGCAGCTGCACCGGAGAATGAAGAAAATCTTTGCCTCATTTTCTATTTTTCAATATATCCAAATACACAAACACCCATAAGATTTCTGGCTAACACTGTCCTGCTCCATCCCTTGCCACTTATTGCTGTCTTCTGTGCCCAATCACTCCTGCAACTGCTTAACACAATAGCAGCACTACGTGCGTGAATATGGAGATGGTTTGAAGTGGAGGCATTTTTACTGAACCAGTAGATATAGATAAGAGCAAGCACCAAAACAATTTTTGCAACTCAAGAGTTTTAGATTTGAGCCAACATGGTGTAGTATCAGGTAAATTGCCCAGATCCCATTAAGCATGCAATCCAGAAATTCTGAGGCCTGCCAAGGAATCCATTGCCTTTTTGGCAAGTGTGAAATACTATTTATTGTGTATGTAGGGCAAATCGTGCTGGTCTCTGGCTGTTATAAAAGAGCTAAAGAAAACACCCTTAGTTTGGAAAGGAGATTGGAAAGCAATAGAGCTATTTTATCACTGCTTGTGCATTACATACAAAGACCCACTTTCATTTATCTCCTTTTGCTTCCCAGAGCATCAGAGCCAGGTATTGTGGCAGAGGCAGATACATCGTTATAATTACTGGTTCAGGGAGACAAGGCCAACTATTAAGCCAAAAAATAAAACCACAGGCTGAATTCAGTGGTTCTGTGGGCTGGATCCAGCAGGCCATTAGTTGCTGAACCCTGCCCTAAACCTTCCTACTTCTGGTGTGGCATGGGCCCATGGGGTTGAAAGATGGCATAGCCAATCATGGCAGGTGAGAGCGAGTCCTTTTAAGAGACCAGCCTTCACCTAGCATGTGAGGATGAGTCATGATATAGCAGACTTGCTTTCTTTGCAAACATATTTGTCTCAATAACTCCTGTGGTCTGACAGCTTGGATTATTGCTAAAGGAGATGTGGTTGCTATCTTTACTCTCCCCGCTCGGGATTTAGGGGGTTGAGCTTCCTGGTTTGCTCCTTAATGCTCCTTTCTTCGCGCTGCTCTGGGAGCCTGGGCTGAGCAGCTGCTGCCCTCCAGTGGAGTCTGTGCTGGAGAAAGCCCTTCATTAAAGCCCTTTGGTGCCTAGTGAAGGTCTGGGGATTGTCTCTGGTGGCTGGAATCAGCCCCTTGGGGCACCCCCCGGCTCTGCGGACATTAACTTCTGAGCTGGAGACTCCAGGTAGTGAAGAGAGACCTTGGGAAAAGTGCTGGGGGCAAGCAGAACAGGGACTTTCTATACACACAGTCTCTCCTTGCTCAATAATTCTCCCCTGGGATAGGCAAGGAGAAGGGCTGCTGTGTCACTGACACTGACAGGCTCTGACTCCTAGTAATGCTGGTAGGAGCGGATCTGGTTTAAAGAGAAAAATGCCCTGGGGACAAGACAAATCAAGTGTTCCAGCTAGAGGTGACAGAAGAGGGGAAGCAGGAAGAAAGGGAGAGGGACAATGAAAAGGGAAGGAGAAGAATAAAGCAGAAGCGAGATTACTGGCTCCCAGTCCAGCTTGGATCTGTTTCTTGTAATCTGCCTGGCAGTCACTGTCCTGTGAACAAGGTGAGAGACAGAAAGGGAAAAAGCCAGACCCTGCTTCTGCCCCATTTCAGTTCCCCCTTCAGAGATCACTTCCTGATGGCAGGGGTTGTTCCCATCTCCCATCCCTGACTGAATGACTTGTTCCAGCATCCCCATATTCTATGTGCTCCCCACTTCCCTACCCAAGTGCTCAAGTCCCTTGTGGAAAAAGAACTAGACCCTCTGCTTTGGGGGACTGGCCACCAAATTTCAGACCATATTATTTTGTTCTGCCATTTCACCTAAAAGAGTTTTTAACTTCTGAGTATGGGGAATAACTCTGATATTGAAGTTTCCTTTTCATTCCAGTAGATGATGGGATGGTGAATGAAATGGAGGACAACTGTCTGCCGGGACTGGAACCGTACGGGTCATTACTGGGCATATCCAAAGGGGGTGATTTCCAAGGACTGGCATAAATGGTGACCTGTGAGAGTCAAGCCAAGCCAAGCCAAGCCAAGCCAAGCCAAGCCAGAAGGGTAGGAAAACACCATGGAAGAGTTGTGGAATGAAACCACTTCCCTTAGCAGAAGAGCTATGGGGAAAGCCAAGGCTAGGAAAGCCCAAAAGAAAATCCAGACACCAGGGAAAACCTATAAGTGCCCAGAGTGTGGGAAAAGCTTCAATAAGAGATCAATCCTTACAGTACATTGGAGAATCCACACTGGAGAGAAGCCCTTTAAATGCCCTGAGTGTGGGAACAGCTTCAGTGTGAACTCGCACCTCATCGCACATCAGAGAATCCACACTGGAGAGAAGCCCTACAAATGCCATGACTGTGGCAAATGCTTCTGCCTGAGCTCCACCCTCAGTATCCATCAAAAAATCTATACAGGAGAGAAGCCCTGTGAGTGCCTTGTCTGCGGAAAGAGCTTTCGAGTGAGCTCCTACCTTCTTGCCCATGGGGCAACGCACAGTGCAGGCAACCCTAATAAATGCCCTGACTGCAGGTAACACTTCAGCTTTAGCCAAGACCTCATTGTGCACCGGAGACTGCACATGGGAGAGAGACCCTTTAAATGTATGGAGTGTGGGAAGAACTTCAATCGGAGATCAACCCTCATAGTTCATCAGAGAGTCCATATGGGGGTGAAACCCCATAAATGTCATGATTGTGGGAAAAGCTCTGTTGTGAGCTCAGGCGCATTGCACACAAGAGAATCTACACGGGGGAGAAACCCTACCACTGCCTGGACTGCGGAAAGAGCTGCCGCCTGAGCTCCCACCTCACCCAACACCAGAGAAGCCACACAGGGGAAAGACCCTACAAATGTCTGGTCTGTGGGAAAAGTTATGCTAGCATCTCAGGCCTTATTAAACACAAGAGAAGCCACGCAGGAGAGATATATAGGCCAGCGCTTTCTTACACCTTAGGGAACCAATGTGGGAGAGGGCCATTATTAGTTTCCCAAATGTGCAGAAAGCTTCAGTGTGCAGTCACCCCATCTAAAACACAAGCCAGTGAACGTGGAAGAGGAGCTGTATCAATGCCCTGAATATGTGGGCAGCTTCACCCACAACTCAGTCCTTACGAGATATCAGAGAATCCACATGGGAGAGAGACACTTTCGCTGCTCTGAATATGGGAAGCAGTTCGCTGATGGCTCAGGCTTCATTAGGCCCTAACAAGTCCACACAGAAGAGAGGTCCTGTAAATGCCCAAGTGCAGGAAAGGGTTCTGGTCAAACTCACTGCTCATTCGGCATCAGAGTCCACACAGGCAAGAAACCCTACACATGTCCTCTCTGTGAGAAATGCTTTTGTTGGAGCTTGCACATCATTAGGCACCAGAGAATCTACAGTCAATAGATGATCATCGGGTGTGTCTTCACAAGGCGCTAACTGTGCACTAGAATTAGGCTAATTCTACTGTGCAGTAGTGTGCAGGGCAAAAACCGTGCTAATGTGCTACTGCACAGTAGTATTAGGCTGTTGCACAGTTACTGTCACTAAAAAGCCATGTGCAAGTGCAACTGCGCAGTAGCACCAGTTACTTCACATTGATTTAGTACTTGGTTATGCAAGTACTAAGTAAACTTAATGCACTGTAACTATGGTGTACTAATGAACATGTAGACCAGTGGCTCCCAGCCTTTTTTTTTGCTGTGACCCTAAATCCAGGTTGTGACCCTGTTCCCACTGCCAACTCACTTGTGTCCGGCAGCACCAGCAGAGCCCAGGCTGGGCTGGGATTGTTGGGGGGCAGCGGTGGCAAAAGCCGCGCTGACCATGTGCTGGGAGAGCCCCGCGGGCGGAAGGGGCGGAGTGAGGGGTGGACCCCCTGCAACCCTAATTTGGGTCATGACCCAAGGTTGGGAGCCACTGGTGTAGACGTACCCACTGTGGCATAATTTTTTTGTTCATGAGTCTGCTACATTCACCTTCTGGGAATGATGACCCAGATACCACTGGGATAGTGGGGTAGAGGAGGGAACCTTAATACTGATTGCCCCCAGGCTGCTGTCTTCTTGGGACCACTGAATGCCCAAATGCTTGATTCCACAGAGCATACCCTCTGGGACATTATTGCCCCCCAAGGAGGCCTATTTTTAGAGAGGGGGTTGGCACCTCAGGTTAAGTCTCCCTTCCGTGAACATCTGTCTAAATCCTGTCTGGGAATAATGGGATCTAAGGTTAGCTCAGGATGGGCTCTTGAGCACTGCCAGGTTGCAGTTCCTTGTAGCATGCTGGTGGCATGAGTCTGGGCAGGAGAGTGGAATTTTTGGAAACTGGATTGTATCTGGATGGCCATAACTCCTGAGAGGAAGTTTGGGTGTTGGGGATAGGACTATTCTGACCCTAGGTGTGAGAGAGTAACTGTCCTGGACCCCAGAAGTTGTCAGTCTTCAACAGTCTTCAATCCAAGTGCCCTCCACTTCCATCCAATGCTTGTTCTGATGTAGAACTTCAGCTGTGACTCCAGCACACCCTAAATGTATGGGCAGTGGGAGAGCAGACTGCCCTGATCTAATTGTTGATGTGAGAGTACTGCTGCATCATGCAGGGCTAGCATTCCAGTATGCGTTGTATGATTTTGGAATAAGTATTGCTTTCTGGTGTCCATTAGTTGTGGATGTAAAAGGTGTTAGAGGATATTATCCAGGATTTTGTTGTCAGTGTAATGATGGCAAAAGACACTGGAGACTTTTCCTTTCAGTCCTGTATAATGAAGAGTATCCTGATGTTGCCCTAACTCTCATTAAGCATATATTTTTGTTTGTGTTTAACTGCATCCTATGACTTTCATAAAAATGCTTTCCCTAACAATCTGAGATGATGGGGGTTTTTTTTCTTAGTGCCAAATTCTCTTAATCTGACTAAAGATGGCTCACAGTACAAAGTACTGACTGGTGAAATGGGATAGTACTTCAAACCTGAGATGACCAGTTCTGGTGACAGACCTTCAGGATGTCAAAATCGACTTTTGTAGAAATCTGTGCAGAGCCCATATTGGGACTTCATCAGCTGGATACCTACATGAGACCTCACGCCAAGGCATAAGTGCATGACTGTCACTATCTGGGGAGTTGTTCCTGACCACAACCAACCTAAGCTGCTTGGTTTTGGTAGATTAGCTGTTGGGCTTGTGGAGATGTTTGATGCTATTAAGGTGTTGACTTCACAGGTAATAATGCAGGGCAAAGCCATTGAGTTATTCTTATGCATTTGCATGATTGGGATGCACAAACCTTATTGAGGCCATTGCTGGGACCCACATGCCTGTGTTTAGAACCCCCGGCACTAGGGCACACAGTTCATCTGCCAAAAAGGGTATTTTTTCCATGATGCTCCAAGGTTTGGTTGGTCATAGCAGAAGGATCACTAGTGTTAAGGGGGGTGGTCTGGAAAGTCCCATAAGGATCTTGAGACTACCTGACCTGTGTTCTGTCATAAGAATGACATTTTTGCTCTGATGGTATCTATGGGCATTGGAAGAATGGCAGCATCATCAGTCAGTTTGTTTTTACATTGTCTTTCTTGGATTTATGCAACCTTCATTGGATGTTGGGAATGGGAGAAATGCTTAGCACACCGTGCAGTTGTAAAATGACAGGACTGTTCATCTGAAAGATCAAAGCGTAGAGGGAGAAACCTGATGTCAAGATTGAAGACTAAAAAATGTCTACCTGCTCTAAACTATGATAAAAATAAGGCTGGAAGGAAGTTTCTTAACTAAGGCATCATCTGGTCTATTATGCCACTGAAAGGAGGATCACTTTCTGTCTAAAGAGTACTGGACAAATGTCTGTGTACCCTATATGTACAAACATCCAGAAACAGAGACTCCACAACCTCTGCAGAGAATCTATTCTAGTACTTAATCCCCAGTATAGTTAGATAGTTTGTCCTAGTATCTAACAAATCTCTGTATGAGCATTCATTGTTCTCTTTCTAGAACAACCCTTTTTTTTTGTATTTCAACACTGCCATGCCCCCTCCCCAGTCTTCCCTAACCTAAATAATCCCAGTTCTTCCATCTTTTCTCACATAACATGTTTTCAGGACCTCTGATCATTTTGCTTTCCTTTGGATGCTTTGTAATTTACCCACATCTTGAAGTTTAATGCCTACAACACAGTGAACACTAAAGATAAGGCCTTACCAGTGCTCAATATAGTAGAAGTCACTTCCTGAGATTCTCGTATGATGCTCTTGTTAATACATCCCTGTATACTGTTAGCTTTTAATTACCCCTTTTACGTTTTTTTAAACAATCTCTGTTTTTACTTCTATTCAGTAACTCTGAAGGGAGCAGGTGTTAATTTCTTACAGAGCTTTGTGTTTTTCTGAAAGAAATAGGTTTAACATATGTTTGAGCCATTTATCTAATCACTTGAAGCTAAAGGCATTAATAAACCCATGAGCCACAGAAAAAGAACCTATGACTTCCTTGTCTATGCTGCTAAAAAAAAATGCCTTCCCTTCAACTATTTTCCCTGCTAACTCATGCGATGTGCCGTCACGTCAGGGGATTTCAGGGGTGACCAGCCGCAAGAGAGAACAATAAGCACCAGGATCAGGAAATGTAAGGTAGCACCTAGAAAGCCAAATGATGGTGGCACATTTGAAAATATTAAAAAGAGTAGAAGAGTGTGTTGGCTCTCTTACAGCTATTTTGGGAAATTAGTTGGTGGACCTAAAAGCCCAGGGGAGAAGGGCTTTACCTGCACCTGCTTAGAAACATAGTTAAATCCTTCACTTCCCTTATAGTTGCATATGTGTCAGGTCATTCTTACTGGAAGTGCCCCCTGCCTCCATCTGGCTCATCAGCAGAGATTTCAGATAACCTTTTGGCCGTGATTTGGAAGCCCAGTGTCTTGGTGACATCTTGTTCTGGGGCTCACTGAGACCCTAGATTTTTAAGTTCAAGCAAGGAGACCACAAAAAGTAAGGCTGGTAGGTATCTTTAGCAAGAACAAGACCCAGCTCCATAGCTGCTGGCATGAGCTTGGCATTCTGTTGCTCTGCTGGAGCTCTTTTGCCTTTCTGTGATACTGGCTGGATGGATACACCGCAGGAGCTGAAGAAAAGGATGCATGTACCTCTGCTTTGCAGCAGTGATACTTATTTTACTTCTCAGTAAATCAACCTCTAGAATAGGAGTGATAAAAATGTAAAATGCCAAAGGATTCTGTGTAAAGCATTAAGGATGTGTGGTGCTATGGCAAAATATCTCAAGTTAACCATGGACAAATTGTAAGTGTAGACAAATTCTTAGAGTAACCCCCATGCACTTCCCACCATCACTTCCCTTTCTGCACAGAGATGGGAAACACACTGCATTTTACAGTCCTTCTTTCCACTCTTTGTCCATTCCATCCCCCATGCTATATTTCACCCTTCCTCCTCCTGGCATCTCCTCCTGCAGGCACTAAATGGAAACCCCACTCTGTGCTCATCTCCCTTTTTCCTGTGCAACCCTCCTTAATCTGTTCCACAACAGGAGCAGATCCCTCTCACCAGGAGCTGAGGACACATTAAAGGAAGCAGCTCTGATCCTTTCTGTAGGTGCATTAACTAAAAGGAAGCAGATTGTCAAAAGCTGCAAGTTCTGTGATTGCAAAACCTGTTTGTACAGAAAAGAGCAACACTTTTTTTTAACTTGTTCAAAGCCAAATCAATTCCAAATCCAACTGTGCAAAGCCCAAGGGTCAAGTTCCAAAATTCGACTGCGCAGAGCTCAATTGTGAAGTCTGTGTGGTTCTACCACAAGGCAAGTATCCTCCATCCCAGAGCCATCAGTCTGGGGCTTTGCATACTCCCCAAATTCAGGCAGGTATCCTAGATGCAAGCCCAAGGCCTGGAGGCCTTTGGGTCTGGATACCCCAGTCTCACTTGATCTTAGCTAAAGAGGAGGGGCCACATCCTGCCTATGACTAGTGTTTTTCCTCCTGTCCTTCTCCATCACTTGGAGCCCTGGGTTTACCCCGGGATCCCAGATCTCAACTAAAAGCAGCAGCATGAAAGCCTGCTCTGCCCCCAATCCACTCTCAGCCACACACACAGAAAAAAGAGCAGCTTCACTTGCTCTCAGCAAGAATCAGAGCCTCTGATGCCTGCAACAGTGTTGCTAGGCAGCTGTGAAACAGCTGGGCGTCTATCTTGACTTGTCTCATTGATTCCTGTCGCCAGAGGGCTCTGCTTGTAGCTGAGGAAGAGGAGGCTGCTATTACTCTCTTCTCAGGATATTGGGAGTTTAGCTTCCTGGGTCACAGGCTGCTGCTGCTGCCTCCTCCATTGTGATTTCTGGACTGAACAGCTGCTTTTCCCTCAGCAGGGTTTGGGCCAGGAGAGACCTTCATTAAAGCCCCTTTGTGCCCAGCCAAGTGGGGGGGGACTTTCTCCAGTGGCTGGAACCAGCCCCAGGTAATGGAGAGAGACCTCGGGGAAAGCGCTGGGGATGGGCAGCACAGGGGCTCTGCACACACAACCCCTCTGCATCTATCACTGCAGGGATGACATCCCCTCTGCCTCCATCGCTGCAGGGACCCTGCACACACATCCCCTCTGCATCCATCACCGCTCCCCAAGGGGGCTGAGTCCCAAAGCTGCTGCCCTCACTGGCACACAGGCTTTCACACCTAGGAGCTAAGCCATGGGAAAGAAAATGCTCTTGGGAATGAGGAAATACCAGGTGTCCTAGACAAGGAGAAGGGGAAAGGGGAAGACAGAGAGCTAGGCTGGAAGAAGCAATAGGAGCAGTCAGTGCAGACAGAGTCGACTGACATCCAGCCCTGCCTGGGCCTCCTTGGATAAAGCCATTGTTCTGTGACCAAGATGAGAAGCAGAGAAGGGAAAAGCCCACCTTGGTCCTAGCCCTTAGGGCTGCCTTTGTGGACAATGCCAGGGAAAATTCATAAGGTGTCTCCTTTGAGACTTTTTAAATGTTTTCATTTGCCAGACAGAAACACCTGTAACAGCATCCCCTCCCCTTGTTACTTGGCAGGCAGGCAGCAGAGGTAAAGCACTAAGAGCAGGGGTAGGCAACCCCTAATACAGATGCCAGAGTGTGGCATGTGCAGGCATTTTGCTTGACATGTGCACCTCGGGGCAGATGGTGGGGAAGGGGCTGGGGCTGTGCTGCCACAACAAGGACTGGGCCCCTCACAGCTCCCCCGCTGTCCACCCCTGGCACGCCAACATCTTACAAGTCGAGGTTGAAGGTATTTTGGCACTCTGCCCAAAAACATTGCTGACCCTTGCTATAGTGCCTTAGGCTGAAAGCAGAGCCAGCCTGCTAACTGCAAGCAGCTGACTGCTAGAGGGCTGATGAGATGAGGCAGTTAGCAACCCCTGTACCCAGTTAAGGTGGCCTGGTGATCAGAAAGGATAGAGCCAGGCTGGGGGTATCCACAGAGCTCCAGGGCTATACAGGGAGCCTGGCACTGATCCCTGGAGAGGAAGGAGCTCTCTAGAAATGCTAAGTGGTTTTTTTCTTATGTTTGTTGAGCGAGCTTGGTAAATGGAGTTAGAGAAGGACCTGAGAGGCATGTGCATGACTTTGGGTAAGGCTGGAGGCCATGATTAGCGCTGGTGGTGATATGGAAAGAATTCAATAGTGGCCTGAATAAAGCCCTGTGAAAGAGTGCAGACCTGGGAGAGGGTGGTCAGGGAAGCAGACCCAAAGACTCCCCAGAAACTGATAGCAGGCTCTCAGAGACTGAGAACAAGGGGGCAAACAAACTCAGAGCAATGAACTGAGGCGGAAAGAGGGAAGCACCTGAGGATGCCACGCCAGTGGATTAAGGGCAGCCTCCCAAATCTCCATCATGTCAGACATGGCAGGTGAGGATGCAGGGTAGTACCCCGAGAAGTCAGAATCAGAGAGTCCATAGGGGGTGCCATGGCTTACCCTGGGGCTCAGACCCTGTTACAGCATCTTTATGGTGTTTGTCCTGGGGATAAGCAGTATCATACCCTCTTCTCAGAATTATGATGGGTCCTTGGTTCTTCCAAGTAGTGAGAGAGCTGGGAATGTAGCACTGGTCTGATGAGGGCCTGACTTGTGCTTTCTCTGCTGGACCCCACTGCCTCTGAGCTGGCCAAGTGTGCTGACTGAGCCTTGCTACTGCAACAGCCTAAGCAGGCATCAGCCTCTGACTGCAGAGAGCATTTCCCATCATAGAAAAGCAAAATCCCTGCTTTTAATTCTTCCCTTACCAGCACAGCTTTCCTGTTTCACGATAAAACTTCAGCAAACATTGGAAGCAGGTGCAAGGGAGTGTATATCCCCATCCAGTTTTCAGTGAGTCAGGTCTTTCTGTAAGTTGTGGCTATTTCCACCGCAGATCTCTCCCATGGAGCAGGAGGAGGAAGTGGATGCCTTGGATGCAGAGGAAAAGAAGTACAAGGGGGATGCTTGCACAGGTGAGGAATCTATTAAACTTGTATGAAAACCAAGGGAGAGTGAAGGGAGAGGCTGTCATATCTGCCGAGCCTCAGGGGAGTTCTTCACTTCTGCCCCATATCGCTCAGGTCAGAGCTGTTCCAGTGGGAGGTCATACCGTCAGGGCAGGTGCCAGCCATGGCTTCCTTCCCGCTCTGAAAGATAAGGTTCTTCGGGTAAATCCAATATCTTTTATTAGACCAACTCAAATAGTTGGTCTAATAGAACTATTTGAGTTGGTCTAATAAAAGATATCAGATTTACCCCAAGAACCTTGTCTGCCTATGTCCTTAGATCCACATGGCTACAACCTACACCCCTTCCCACCCTAATACACTCATAAAAACCCTTCCTCTCTCCCTCTGTCTCCTTGCTATTTCTTTTCTGAATATTCAGATGATTTGTGGAAGAAGGACGGGTCTCCCTGCTCTGACAGACTGGTCCTTACTTCATATTATACTATCTTTTTCTGCCATTTCCCTTTCTTAAGGTTCTGTCTATGTGAACTGTGCAGCCCTACTGCTCTGTGGTTAGTTCCAGTTTCAGGGAATGACTCTGATCTTCCTATTCCCCCCTTTCTACCAGCAGCTGACTGTGTGGTGAGTGAAAAGGAGAATTGTCTGCAGGAAGCAGAACTACATGCTCCATTACTGGAGAGATTTGAGAGGGATGATCCCCAGAGCCTAGAGCAAGTGGGGGCCTGTGAGAATCGATCCAAGCCAGAAGGGCAGAAAAGCCTTACCACAGAAAAGCCAAAGAGCAAAACCACTTCCCCTGGCAAAGCTAAGGGTATCAAAGAGAATCAGAGAATCCAGGCAGGGGAAGAACCTCATAAGTGCCCTGAGTGTGGGCAAAGCTTCAGTGAGAGCTCAGACCTCCGCGTACATCAGAGACTGCATGCTGGAGATAAGCCCTATAAATGCATGGAGTGCGGGAAAATTTTCAACAGGAGATCCTTCCTGATCACACACCAGAGAATTCACACGGGAGAGAAACCCTACAAGTGCCCCGACTGTGGGAAGAGCTTTCGTGTCAGGTCTACCCTGATTAAACATAAGAGAATCCATACAGGGGAAAAACCCTACAAATGCCACGACTGCGGGAAAAACTTCCGCCTCAGCTCCACGCTCAGCACGCACCGGAAAATCCACACGGGAGAGAAGCCCTATGAATGCCTGGTGTGTGGGAAGAGCTTCCGAGTGAGCTCCTACCTTCTTGCCCATGAGGCAACACACAGTGCAGATAACCCCTTTAAATGCCCCGACTGTGGGAAACACTTCAGCGTGAGCCGGGATCTCATTGTGCACCAGAGAATCCACACGGGAGAGAGACCCTTTCAGTGTACAGACTGTGGGAAAACCTTTAACCGGCGATCGACCCTCATAGTGCATCAAAGAATCCACACGGGAGAGAAGCCCTATAAATGCCCTGACTGTGGGAAAAGCTTCATTGTGAGTTCAGATCTCATTGCACATCAGAGAATCCACACGGGGGAGAAACCCTACCACTGCCTGGACTGCGGGAAGAGCTTCCGCCTGAGCTCCCTCCTCCCCCGACACCAGAGAAGCCACACTGGGGAGAGACCCTACAAGTGCCTGGTCTGTGGGGAAAGCTACACTGACAGCTCAGGCCTTATTAAACACAAACGGATCCATACAGGAGAGAAACAGAGGCCAGTAATGGTTACACCGCAGGGAACCCACACGGCAGAGGGACGTTATAAATGCCTGGTCTGCAGGAAAACCTTCACTGTGAAGTCAGCACTTATAAAACACACGACCATGCACACAGGGGAGAAACCCTATAAATGTCCCGAGTGTGAGAAAAGCTTCAGCCACAGCTCAGCTCTCATGAAACATCAGAGAATCCACACGGGCGAGAGACCTTTTAAATGCCCTGACTGCGGCAAGAGGTACAACGACAGCTCAACCCTGAGGAGACACCGGAGAACGCACACAGAAGACCGACCTTATAAATGCCCCGACTGTGGGGAGCGCTTCTGTATGAACTCTGCCCTTGTAAGACACCAGCGGGTCCATACAGAAGAGAGGCCCTATAAGTGCCCTGAATGTGGGAAGAGCTTCCAGTCCAACTCTCTGCTCGTCACACACCAAAGAATCCACACGGGCGAGAAGCCCTATGCCTGCCCCGTCTGTGGGAAACGCTTCCGCCAGAGCTCGCATCTCATTAGGCATCAGAGAATCCATATGGGATAGGGCTCAAACGGGTTTCCTTTCCCTTTCCCGATGCTGCTCCATTTCATCCCCTGTGGATTCTGGGAACTGAGGCTAGCTGTTGAATGGCCACGGGGTATTTAGAGATTAGGGAGTCATGATACATGGCAGTAGGGCCTGGACTAGCCAAGGGAATTGAATATTTGTACGCTGGGTTGTAGCAGGAGGATCACAAGCCCTGTGTCATGCTGGGTCATTGGTGACCAGGTCTGGGGCCACTTGGGGATCAAGGTACTGACCAGGGCCAGGAGGTGTGAGCACAATCCAGGGACAAGGTGGGTCAGGAAGCTAGGAGGTCAATCCAAAAGTCAGTTCTAGGTATAAGGTAAGTCAGGAAGTTAGGAGATCAGACAGAGAGCAAGCCATGTCAAGAACCAGGAGAGAGGGCACTTGCCGTTCCTGTGCAGCGGGATGTGGAGGGTCACCTCACCCTGACCGGCCACTCTGTTGCCAGGGAATGGACAGAGGGTTAGGCTGTTCTGGAAGATTCAGGTCAGCCATAGGGTGGCTGGCCTGGGCGAGTGGCTATATTGGCCAGGCTGAGGCCCTAGATTCAAGGCCACAGCCTGATACTTTGGGAAAAAGAGCTTACAGGCAGGGACTGGTCAAGCTGGAACTGAGGAAGGAGGAAGGAGAGTGGGGTGAGAACATCTGCCCTGAAGTCCAGGAGTCTTCTATGCCTAACAGAGATCTGCCTCCCCTCTTCCTTCCACCTTGTTCTGGTAGACAAACCTCAGCACTGTTCCCAGTTAACTTCCCACAGGCCTGGACTGTGAAGGAGGGTGATGTACTGAACAGACGATGTGAAAAGTCCCATTGTATCTTTCCAGTTCTGCATTAGGACCTGTGAGGCATGACATGGCATGTGGGTATTCCCTTCTGGTGGTAGGAAAAGGTTTATGGAGTGTTGGATCTCATCATTTGTGAAGTTGCAGCAGGAAGGTGGCAAGGTGTACAGGAATTTTCCTCTTTTGATTGCCATGTTTTAAGGCTTGGGGTCAGTGGGCACTGTCCTGATACTGCTTTAACTGTTACTAATCATAGATTGTGTTTGTATTAACTTGATCCAATTACTTTCATACAAATGATTCCTCCAACATTTTGAGCTGATAGGCTTTATTTACCTTTATGTCCCCACTATCTTGTACTTTGGATAGAGGCAGAGCACAGCAGATAGTGTTAAATGTGCTAAGTCAACGTGCTAAGTGTAAATTGCTCTCCAGCATCTAATGTTTTCCTTTCTCTTTTGGTTGTGTGGGTCCATCATTTACGAAAGTAGGGTTCAGTTTTCAGTCCTCCTCCTCTTTCCTCAAAAACAAAATACTTTAAATGGGAAAGATGCTGCTGGAAATGTGCTGTGACTGAGTGATATCCATTTTTTAGATAACAGCTTCCTCCAGAAACCCCCCTTGTCATTTTTGGAAGGTGTGCCATCCCAGGCCTATCCACTACAGTACAAAGCTGGCTGGCACCTTTTGAGATGCATGATCAGTTCTCATCTCTCAGAGAGACTGTCTTCAGTTGTGCCTTGTCCCTGTGGGGTCATCAGAGAATGGCCCAGTGAGGAGAGCAGAATCTTCTTCATGCCTCTGGATCCTCCTGGGCTGCCAGTGCTACCTGCACTCTTCCTGAATGCCAGTTAGTGTCTCTGGGGCTCCTGTCCCATCCCCCTTGCTGTCCTCCCGCTGACAGACAAGATCCTTTCTGACTGCTGTCTCCTGGTTCCCTCTTCCACCTCAATGAAAAGAACATTTTTTCCAGCTATTTAGTTGGTCTAATAAAACATATCACATCTACCCAAAGAACCTTACCTGCCTATATTCTTGGACCAGCATGTCTACAACCAACAACCTCAATGAAATGCAAGTTCAGCCACTCCCTGCATTCTGGAAAGGCATGAAGCACCACAGGGCATTTAGTGAGGTCTGCGGTAATGAGTGCACAACATAAAGCCTGGGGGCTGCTGGCTGCACCGGGACAGTCCCAGAGATGCACCATGATGCTTTGTTAAACTACTGTAATAGAGAAAAGGGTTTGAAAAGCAAAACAGAGAGCCTTGTGTGTGGCAGGGTCACTCTCCAGGGGTGGCCGTGGAGTCCCTACAGCCCTAACTCTCTTTGGGCAGGCCCCCTTCTCTTTCCTGCCATGCCTTGTTGTAATTGTTTTTTCATGAAAGAGGCTTCCCCAGGGCATCCCAATCTGGTCTCTCACATGATCATCATGTGTCTATGGTCTCTGCCTTAAGGGCTTATCGAGTGGCTCCATACCACTCCTACACCACACCCTGTGCCTCACAGGTGTAATCGCCTCAGTTGTTCATTCCACACTCGGCCCATTTCTGGGCCCCTCAACACACTCAGCCCCTCTCTCTGGGCTCTGGACCCCTCCCTGGGTCCCTAGGAATCTCTGCCTCCCCATAGTTCATCCCCAAACCTCCAGACTGCTTCAAGCTGTGCTCTCAGTGCTG